TAGCAGTTTGGAGGGCATCGCTAGCAGGTTGGAGGCCATCGCTATTAGGTTCCTTTTTTGTATTAGGTGAGGGGCCACGCCTCCCAATGCTTATGATGCGGAATGTCCACTCTATGAGACACCGGAATGAGGAAAACGTCTCTGTGTCATCGATCTGGCCACAGCGAAACCTTCTGATGCTGGCTTTTGATAGCTTTGTGCTAGTAGTCTTTGTTCCAAGGGGAGGAGGAAACTGCGGACAGAATCCAAGGTGCACAGGGCTGGGCCCTTGAAAGTTCAGCTTCGGCGCTTCTTCCGCCATGTCCCACAAGCACAGGTTGTCGCCCTTCTTCCCATAGCCCAGGAGAACGCCCGGACCACCCACAAAGGCGTCCATACCTGAGAGCACTGTGCACATGGCCTCACTTGGCCGTTCCCCTCTTCGGCGTCAAGGGGCGAACGAGCCGAACTGGCTCACCGTCCTGGCCCTCTGGAAGAGTGTTTTCCTCTACCAACCGGTGGTTTTCAGGGTCCATGTTAGTCTTCCAGGGTGTAAATTGAAACCCGAAGATGTTGTGTTGACAAAAGCCTGTGCTGATGTCGAACAAAGTGGACCAGTTTTTTCGGGCACGTTTGGGGTGGAGTTTTGAGGTGGATGGGAGTCTGAAACATTTGGTCGAAGGATGAGTTGGCACTAAGCTTGACGCATGATGCTACTGCCCTGAACCGGGCTGTGGGGACTGTCCGCAAGTCGTGCTGAAGAAAAACCCGAAGATGCCCAGAAACGATTCGGGTGAACCTTCACCTCCACACGGCCTCACCCTGTGCTGGCCGATCTCCATACGACCGCCAAGCGGATTGGCCCCCCTTCAGGCACCGAGTCCCTCGTCCGAAGACTGGTGACCTGCCACCGCGTCTTGGGAGGTGCTTTCCGCTGGGCGGAACGCCCTGGGAGCTGCCCAAAGCCGGCCAAAGAACGGAACATCTGATTGATTGGTGGCAGTATCTTGGACGGTGATGATTCATCTTCACGAAGCGTCAAAGAACTGGGGCCTAGATATACACACATGGCCAACATCTCCTGTTGTTGCCCACCATTCCCTCCGCTAGATCGAGGCACAGTAGACCGAGGGCCCCACATGACACCGCTTCGTGGGGTCTTCGCTGCCGTTGACCTCGTAGAGAATGAGATGCTCGCCGGTGGCTGCCAGGTAGGTGTCATCAGCCACCCAACCTCGGTGCCGGTGACATGGGCCTGACAGGTTCTTAGGGCCATAAATCAAAGGCAACTCATAGGGCCATAGGCCTCTAAGCATAGGTAGAGAGGCTAGGGGGGGGAAAGACACTTCATGGAGGGCTTCTTGGGCTTTACGCTTCTTTGGTTTAAACGGTGCTGTTATGTATATCCATTTCTTGGCCATATCTCACATTAACTAGTCTACCATGTGAAAACCACCCTGCTGCTCTAAGGAATGGTTCGCTAGTTCGTGTCGCCCTAGTGCTGCCTCAGTGCCAGCAGGTACGGCCACAAGAATTCGCAAGACTTCAAACAGAACCATGGATCATCATGCAACTGGCACCCTTCAGAAAACCCTTGTATGAACTATAAACTGGATTCCGGGTTGCTTACCCTACAGGAAGGACGTGACCCACACAAAGTGCTCTCACTTCCCGCCTCTCTCTCCTTGTCTGTTTGTCTGTTTGCCTCTGCCTGCAAATGCCCAAATGCACGGAACTCCGATTGACTCACATGGAAAATGGCCCTTCAATCCACATCAATCCCTTCAAACTTCCTCCATGGCACGAATCGCCTCCACTGATGCATTCAGCTGCCGGGTATATCTCATCGTCGGCTGCAAAGGCCGCGGGATGGGGAAATGTTTCGAGAAGGCGGGGTCTTGGTCGACGCTACTTCCTCAGCACTCAGCAGCACGCAGTCGGCGTGTTTATGGGAGCAGCACTCGGCTCGGGGCGCCGATGGTTTTGGGAGATTGTGAGATCAACTTAGTCCAAGTCTATGCCTTTCTTCCTGAGGTCCATGGAGAAGGCAAAAAAAGTCAGGTAGTTCGTTGGCTGAGATCCGGGTCTTCCACAACATCACCTCCAGAAAAACCCGGAAGCTAAGCTTCGGGCAGTTTCTGCTTGGATGTCACCCATCCGAACCCGCCATGAACGGACGCTCCCACCGCGCCGAAACGGCCGGTCCGGACGGTCCGGTCGCTGCGGGCGCCGGCCGCGTGAACCGGCTGAGCTGCGATAGTCCAAGTAGGGCGCCGCCGCAGGGGACAGAACCGTCTTGACCTTTTCCTGGAGGCGGAGGCACCCTTTTCCAAGGGTCTATAGTTTGATCATATCTGAGTCGAAAGTATCGAAGATCACTGGTAAAAAGGGGGAACAGAAACTGATGCCTGATGCCGCTCGCTACATTGCCATGGCCCATCAACTGGCCCATCGCCATGGCAGGCAATTGTTGGTTCGCATCAGGGAGAAGACTCCCTCACTTCTTGGATGCGCAGTACCTTCCGCAGACTATTGGGATTGGTGGGTGTTCGTCGAGTCCTTTTAGACTATCGTCATTGGACTGAGATGCCATCGGTTGGAAGATCACAGTAGCAAAGCTGGGAAGTGTAAACATCTCACACATCCCCAAGCAGAGTCATTGGCCGAGCAGAGTCGTTGGATGAGTTGGAACAAGGAGACCTCCGAACGCATCCGAATCATCTGCTGCCATTGAAGGAATTTAAGGACCAAGAACCCCGTTGGATTACACCTGCCGATCTTTCTGAGAAAGCCGATGTCAGTCCAGTGACTTGCAAGATCTTTGATCATCAGTGGCTCACCATGTTCCCGAGGTGGATTGAACTCATGGAACCTCCCATGGATGAAAACGCCAGCAAATCCCCCCAAGACGAAAATCCGGCCCTCCGAAATGCGGATCATCCCCAATTCCCCTGAAAGTCCGGCCCATCGTTGATTTCAGGGCTTTTGCCGAAGAACCGCGCTTTTGAACTGAGGCTTTCGGACCACCACATCAGGCCAACCTTTCTGTTGATGGTCGAGTAGAAGGGTAAACGATCTCGTCCCGTGAGTTCCCTCGAAAACTGCAGCAGTCAGGCCGCTGCGGACCAAACCCGACGTCCATCGCCGTTTCCTCCTCGCTCCCAAAACATGCTCATCTCCAGGGGGCGGGATCGCTCACCATGGTCATGAGCTGGTTGAACTGGTCGAAGTTGATCGATCCAACGTTCTCCTTATCCACCAGCTTAAAGACCTGCCGAACTTGACGTTCTCCTGATCCACCGGCCCCGTCTACATCGGAGTTGGACATCGGAGCGCAGACTGCAAGGGGGGGTCCGTCACACAGAGAAGAACAGCGAAACAGTGGAGTGATGAGATCGATTCGATGGGAAAACCCATGAACTTCTGACTCATTGAAAAGGCGGGATGACCATTGGCATACGTAGGTGATGGTTGCCAGGGCCCCTACAAAACAGCCTCAAGCTTGGTCAAGCCTTTGTCAGTGGACAGTCCCAATCGTCACAGCCTGTGGGCCCCCAAACCAAATCCCTCCCCCCAAAAGCGATCAGTTCCGCGAAACCTTGCGAAACCACGACCCGTCCTCCGATTTCCACCGCTTGGTTTTTGCCCTTCACCCCATGGCGCCCGGCCGGCTCGCCCTTCACCCCATGGCGGCGACCCCGACTCCCAACCGAAGCGCCTTCTTCAAGGAGTTCTTGCTGCATCGGATGGCCAGCTCCCGGGCCGCGGGCTCCAAGTGATCCATGGAGACGCCGCGACTGTCGCCGATCCGCTGGAAGACATGCTTCCTTCGCGGAACGCGCCGGACCGGTCGGATCGGTCAAGGACGCGAACGGGGCGCGAACGGGGCCATACTATTAGGAACCAGAAGCTACGTTCGGGGCTCCTGGCATCGCTACCAATAGTAACCAAGGACATTACTACGAACATTCTTGCCATTAGTAACAAGAAGCTACTAATAACAAGGACGGCCGTGCCACTGGGCGCCACAGGAGTCTTTTGCCCTTGGAGATTTCAGGTGGGCGAGGCCGGGCCATGGCCTTCGCGCTCGTCGTTTCTGCGTGCATTGACATGCAAATTTGCTTCCAAAACTGCAAGGCACACGCGGTAGCCACAGGTTCGAAAACAGCGAGTTCCTGAAACTGATGGTGCATTATGTTGTATGCTTGTGCAAGGAAAACATGCTCATGGACCACGAATCGCTACCTCCCTAGTCGGGGAGTCCAACCCTTACCCGGCCAGAAAACCCCATCCTTCGAACGAACGCAGTTCGAACCGGTCCAATCACCACCCTGCCGGCGCCGAGGTCTGCCAAGGATCAACTCCTCCAGGTCCAATGAGGAAGCCTTCGACCCCCCCTCCGCCATGGGCGAAACGCACACCGCTCTGCCGCTCGCGTTGGCCGCAAACGGCCGACGGACGGGTCACCGTGGCGGTGGAGCGGCGTGGTTGTCAAGTCCAGGCGGCCGGTGAATGGCTAGTTCATGACATCTAAGTAGTATGAATAAGTCATCCAATGATTCATGTGAAGGTCTTGCTGCCATGGGTGTTTCACAAAGGGCTCGCAGCCCAAGCTCGCTAGACTGGTGGGCTGTGACCCGAGTCACCGATTTCCCTGCAAACCCTAGACCCTAAACCTTGTGCCCCAACAGAAGCACCCCCAAAGTAAAGCGACCAAGCGACCTGGTAAGGAACATCAGGAATGTACAAATGCACATGCGCAATGGATCTTTACCTGATGAAAGCCCGTTGCCCTGATCAATCCAAGGCTTCTTCTTTGCCAAAGAGCGTTCCTCACTCTCCACAACCAAGTTTTGAATATTGTGACAGCTTCTACTGACTGAGACGGCCAATTTGGTGGTACATTTGCTTTTTAGCAGGTGATGCTATTCTCCATGGCGGTGATGATGGGACGACCCTCAACGATAGCTCTGTCTGATTCTGTCTGCTTACCCCGTGGGACATCATCTGAGGTCACCAACCTAAGGTGAGCCGCTCTGCAGGCAAACCGAGCTTGGCCCATGCCTTGGCGCGAGCGCTGCGTTCGAAGGTGTTTTCCAATCAAAACTTGAGTCCGGCGGGTTTCAAAGGCATGCATGCTCAGCCGTAGATCACAACAACGCTCACCACTTTCTCTGGCCGGTCCCTGGGCCCACAAGTCGTCCCCGCCCACGACAGCTCTGCAGAACAGGTCCTGCTCTGCAATTCACCCCTAGACTCCTCCTCTCCAATTCGTCCACTTCCAGTGTCCCAAACCCCCCAAAAAGGACACCAGTTCCTCGCCTCACCCGCCCCGCACCCTCGCACACCCGGACCACTCGGACGTCACTCGCCTCGACCACGTCGGTGTCCATCTTTTCGCTCGCGTGGCGGCCCTGCTGATCCATCACCGTGTAGGTCATGGCCTGGGGAACGAACGCCCCAAACCTCCGGACGGTGGTGTGCGGTTTGGTTCGGTGCTTTTGGGAGGTGGTTGATGAGGTGCAGCAGTGCGTGGTGGAAAGCACCGAGCACCATGGCTCCCGCTCTAGCCAACCGGCCGCTCGAGAGTTGTGGATCCGTGCTTGGATCTCCTTCTTTGCAGCTGAGGAGCGTGACACATGTCAAAGAGATCGACGAATCCTGAGTGTCAAGTTCCAGTGCGCTTTTGGTGTTCTCTCCTGGTTCGAGCTGCATGATGGGTGGCTCACTTTTTCATGTTCCTGTAGATTGCGATTCTTGTGGCCGAACGGACATGCCCAAATCCCAACCAAAATTGATCACGTCCTTCCAGCTTGTATAGAGACCCTTCACTTGACTGCACTGTAGAAACCACAACCATGGGCAGCTAGATGCCCCATCTGCCAGGGACCCGGAGTGCCATGTACCAGTAGATGATACCGATGATAGCTTTCACTTTTTGCTGGATGTTTTCTGATGGGACCTCACTAGTTCAATACTTTAGGACCTTCTGAATGGAAGTGTCAGGCTGTGTCCCTGTCTCTTTCTGTACAAGCTTCGGAACCACCTATCTGTCCATATGTCTGTATCTTAGGTTGGAGGGCATCGCTACTAGGGTGGAGGGTATCGCTACTAGGTTGGAGGCCATCGCTACTAGGGTGGAGGCCATCGCTACTAGGGTGGAGGGCATCGCTATTAGGTTGGAGGGCATCGCTATTAGGTTGGAGGGCATCGCTATTAGGTTGGAGGGCATCGCTATTAGGTTGGAGGGCATCGCTTATATATATATATATATCTCTCTCTCTCTCTCTCTCTCCCTCTCTCACCAACAAGGGTGACTCTCGGCCAAGTCACGCTTTTCCTCAGAGTCCTGTGGCTTCAAGGTCCTTGGCGCCGTTCCCAGGCTTGGACGGAGGAATCGTCTGCTCAGCTCCTCCAAACTTGAATGGTTCGGGTGATGAACAAACACTGGCAAGGGGCGCCAGCAGAATCAGCCCATAGACCGTATATCGTGAACAAACACTGGCAAGGGGCGCCAGCAGAACAAGCCCATAGACCGTATATCGTGTGAATCTAGGTGGCGCCAGCTCCAAAACGGGAGGCTTGGAAGATCCATCGAGCGAGTGCCATGGCCACCGGTCATGCCCATGGCCTCCGGTCACTCCGATGGCCAAGCATCAAGGGCGCGAAGCCCTTCATCGCGGCCGAGAGCGCGTGGAAGGTCATGGTCATGACCTGAAGATGTCCGACTCCCGAAAGCGAAGCAACTACACTGGTTTCAGAGTAAATGGCACAATCCCCAGAAGGTGGTTTACATGGACCCTCTTCCAAAAGACATCTTGGAGTTTGGTGCCATCTATTCTGAAACCACTGTAATGCAAATTTGTATACATTTTCCAACTTCGCAGCCAAGGAAGCAGCCACTTCCATCACCTCTGGTTGAGCTCAGGAGATCTTCGTGCCACTAAACCAGGGAGCGATCGGACGCTACTAAGGGCTCCTGGCCTTACTACTAGGAACAAGAAGCTACAAGGGGCTCCTGGCATCGCTACTAGGAGCAAGGACGCTACTAGTAGCTATTTGCTCCTAGTAGTAGGGCCGGGAGCCCCTAATTAGTAGCGTCCTTGTTCCTAGTAGCGATGCCCTTTGCTCCTAGTAGCAGGGCTGCGACGAACGTAGCTCCAATGTCTATGTCCAATCGAGCCACTGGCATCTCGCCACCCCGCGAACCTGGGCGCGGCGCCGACGAAGGCCATTCAGTGGCGCTTCAAAGGCAACTGCGCATTGTCTTGAGAACCCGGGATTGGTGGACCCTAAAGCCCCCTGGGATTGTAAAGCCTTTTCATAAAGGGGTAGCCTGTTCCCCAGTCATTGGTAGCTTATTCTTCGCCCGTTTGTCAAAACAACCGTGAACAACGCCGACGAGACACACACAGAACATGATCCTTTGATAACATTTGAGGTCCATTCGTCCATGGTCGCTGTCTTTTTCACACGCGCAACAAAAAAGAGGGACCCCATTTAGCAGCTACCCTAAGGGGACCTACCCTAAGACTCCGAGGTCGGCTTAGCAAAGGCTCGAACCTCGAACGGGCCCAGGGATCGGATCTGCACCGGTTCGAACGGTTCGCTTCAAAGGCACCGATGGCAGTGCGCAGCATCAGCACCAGCTTGGCCAGATTGAGCCAATCCGGGTTTTGCACCTGGCGGGGAAGCTCACGTGCCATCGGAAGCCCCTTTCTTCAGCCATTAAGTGGAGGTTTCGGTTTATATACACCATGATGGATCGACCCTTCCAAGTGGGAGAAGTTCACTTCGGTGTCTCACAACAAGCTCAAATCCACTCCCAACTCCGCATCGCATCTGAACCGCTTGGAGTCATGCAATGACCCGCAGGAACGTCCAGCTTCTCAAGACGGTTTTTATGTTTCGCTCTGGGCTCAATCGTGAGCCCCACCTTCTCTGACATTTTTGCGCAGGGTATGGACATTCTTTGTGAAATAACACGGTATGTCTTTTGGCAACTCATGAATTCATCGAACGACAATGTGGGAAGAACAAGAAACATCATGTGATGACATGCCAAAAAGGTTCCGTGCTGCGCAGGCTTCACAATGACCGCAAAACCCGCCGGGAAAGCAGCAAGCGGAGGAACGCCCCTGCAACAGGCATAGCCGCCTATGGCTAATTCCGGCATTGGAACATTTCATCTCGTCTTCAGCCACGAAGCCTCCACATGAAGCCGTGTTCCTGGCTGTGGCCCTGGGGGGGAGGCATTGCCCCCCTGGTGTCCAAACACTGCCGCGTTCCTCGACCTTGCTAGGCCCGCAGGCCAACAGGGTCGTAGCCGTAGCCCGCACGCCATCAAGCCGACCATGCTGCGAAGCAGACATCAGTGAATGCGACATGGTTCCTGGTTCCTTCTGACATGACAAAGTGTTTTCCAAGAAATCTTCGGCACTAAGCCTGCACATCAGTGACTTCAGGAACCAGCTGAGCAAGCTGAGGACTGCAGCTTTCGTCGACGAGCCGAACGCTCCTCCCAGCTACCCTGGCACCTCCACGTCGAAGTCCAGGCCGGAGAGCTGTGGCAGCTCCTGAGCCACTTCGGATCCTTCGGATCCCTTCGGTGGAGAGACCTCGGACCTCGTGCGGTGGGTCGAACAGTGGACGCGTCGGTCGGTCGGTCGGCCGGACGAACTGCGGACCGCGCACCTGCAAAAGGCTCAAGAGCTGCTTGGCGAGGCCTCAGCGGTCGTGGAATGACCAGGTACGGAGCAGGTCGACTGCAGAACCAATGAAGTCCGGTTGGAGAGGAAAAGACCCACAATGTCTTTGGCGCACATCAAGTTGCTTAGGCTTTGCCATCGCTACTCATCCTGGCCTGTGCCCACCCTCATCCTGATCATCCACCAGGGTGCCTTGGCCAATGTAATGCATACATAGGTGTGTTAAAAATATATAAATTACATAAGTAAACAAACAAATAGACATATATATATATATGTTTCTAAAACACACTACAGACACTATATATATATACAATATACACATAATAATGCATATATATATATATATTTGTGAATCAATCCAGTTGAGCACCAAACCTTCGAATGGTTGTTCGATCGACGATGTCATCCAACGCAAAACGCGTTGGCTCAAGGCCGACAGGGACAGGACAAGCACCGAGAAAAGCGGTGCGACGGCAGGGTGGCGGACCACCTTTGGTTTGGATAGGGATAGGGCCCCCTTAGGTTAGATAGATTTGGTTGACGGGCGAGGAAGCTACCTTTGTGGCTGATAGCCACATTGGTAGCGGAGCCCGGAGGCTCAGTGAGGCCACTGGAAAGCCATGGGTTCCGAGGCGGAGAAGGCCAATGCGATCTGGACTCTCCTACCGAGTTTTGATCCAGGCCAAGATGACGTGAAAGAGTATATAGCGAAAGTCAAGTTTTTGGATGGGATTTGCCCAAAGAAGGATCGAGGAATGCTTGCTCCAAGGTTGGCCATGTTGTGCAAAGGTACTGCCTGGCATCAAGTTCGATCCATCGACCCCGACAGGCTGACGAATCCGGACCATGGAGTGAAAACCCTCCTTGAAGCTTTGTCGGCATGGGAGGACAGCGCAGAGTTGAAGACATTTGAGCTGTTCGAAAAGGCAATTTACAAGACCATCCAGAAGGCCGACGAGAGTGCACAGTCTTTTGTCAATCGACTGGACGTGGCGTTCGGAGAAGTTGGACATGAGACGACACTGAAGTCGGTGATGGCCTTCGTATTGTTGAAGCAGAGCAATTTGACCACCGAGGACAAGAAGAAGATTTTGACAATGACAGGTGGCAAGATTGAGAAGAAGGCCATTGAAGGAGCTATGAGGAGCTTGTCAACAAACGTTCTGACAAGCAGTGGCTCCGAGAAAAAGAAAGTATCCCCCACCAACCTGGTTGAGGATGCACCGGACTCCGCAGCAGAGCAGTCAGATCAGTATTTTGATCAGAGTGTTTTTGCATCGCAAGTTGAGGAGGAAGACATTTCCTCCGAGTTCCTGGACCAATTGGCGACTTCCGGAGACGCTGACGCCTTGACAGTGCAGGGATTCGAGCGTGAGTTGACAGATCTTTTTCAGGAAATCCCTGACCTCCATTCAGCAGTAGTGAGCTACCAGGAGGCCAGAGGCAGGATCGTCGAGCGAAAGCGGAACAGAGGATTCTGGCCTTTGAAGGGAGGCTCAACTGGAAAGGGCAAGGGATTTGGAAACAAAGGCTTTAGAAAGGGCCAATCCAAAGGAAAAGATGAACTGTTAGCACGCATAGCAAGGACACACTTTCATGTAAGCAATTAACTACAGTATTTGGTTGAAGCTTGTTGTCTTTCCTCGAAAGCCTTTCGAAAGTAAAATGCAACCCATTGGTCGTCTTCCCTGAAACTTGGAGGGCAATTCTCCTTCAATCAAGTTAATGGACACATACTCCTTTCACTAAAATACATGTCCAATGCAACCGAAGCACTTGACCAATGTGTTGGACAGGTTGCGAGAAATCCAAGGAATTCTGGTGGAATTTCCTTTGAGGGGGCGTGCTTTCGGTTAGCTACCTGGAGAGCTCAGGAGATCTTCTGGTGTTCGCTCGTGGAATCCGCCGCGGCTGCGGAGGCGCGTCGGGACCGAGCGATGGTCGCTTGACGGCGGTGGACGCCAGCTGTTGGAGGCTTGCCCTTGGGTGTGGCAAGCGATGCGGAGAGCTCGGCCACTGGAAGGCTGAATGTCCATTGAAGATGACCAAGGAGTCGCAAGCGAACGTGGCTTCAGCATCCCATGAGGCCGAAGAGAATGACCTCTTTGAGCAGGTGTTGATTGAAGAGATCAACTCAGAGTTTGAGGTCGGGTCCGAAACGGGAAACAATGATCAAACGGCATTTTGCCAGGCAAAGCATTTCGAAATAGGAGAAACCAAGAGCCAGAACCAAAGCCTATTCGAGCCAGAAGCACAAGCTAATTTTTCCGAAGCCGTATTCGAAAGAGCCAAGAGATTCTTTTCGAAACGAAACCAAAACTCGAGTGCACCGATCAGGAAGAGCCAAAAGCAGCCGCTGGATCATCCAACAGCGGTGCCAAAGCATGGACTCACCAGTAAGGCTGGCCAGTCCGAAGGGTTCAAAACGAACGGCATGGCAATCATAGACACCGGAGCCAGCCGGAGCGTCATCGGAGAAGAAAATCTCCAGACGTTCCTAGACCTGCTACCAGAGTCCGTCCGATCTCGAGTGAAAGAACGAGCCAGCCGTGTAGCTTTTCGATTCGGAAACAATCAAGTGGAGCATAGTTATAAACAGATACATGTTCCAATAGAGCAGGATAGAGTAAGAATATGGCTAATTGTTGAGGTCGTGCCAAAAGCCACTCCCTTTCTCCTGTCAATCCAAACCATGAAGAGGCTAGGAATGATTCTTGACTTGCAGAAGGGTTCGTGCTTTTTGAAAGTGTTGAATAAATCAGTGACTTTGCATGAGGGTAAAACCGGGCTTTTGATGATTTGCATTCAGGATTTGTGCAGGAACTCCACCGAATGCCAAAGCATTTTCGGAGCAAGCAGTCGCGACAAGCCAGATTCGCTTTTCGTTGAAAGCTATGCCAACTCGAGGAGAGATGCTCCAAATGGTGAAAGGGATTGCCGAACATGTCGTTCAGAGTCTGCAGACATTGCTGATGATTCTGTTGAACCAAGTGGCAACCCAAGTCTCCACACAGGAGGTGCCGACCGAACAGGTGACGATGATGAGCGAACTCCTCAGCGAGGTCCAATCCCAGAAGGAGAAGATCGAAGAGATCGCATTGATCATGCGGCAGGGCACGTCGCCCAGTCGCAGGGAAGAGCCATTCTCAGTCCTGACGGAGAGCGATCAAGAAGTCTGGGAGCAGGAGGTGCGGGTGTTTCAAGCCCAAACACCACCTCGACATCAGCCAGCTCAGCAAAAGATGACAGTGAATCCATCCACTCCGCCAAGAACAAAGTCTGTGGCAGCCGGAAAGGGAAGCTTCCAAGCCCAAATGTCACCAAATCAAGCCGTTTCAAGTCTGGTTGGGATGGCAGCCCCTGGAAGCCCATTGCCTATGAGCCCATCACAAGACCCGAGAAGCCAGCCATCAACATCAAATCAGGAACAGAGTCTCGCATGGACGACAACTGCAATGGATCGTTGGGGCCAAAAGATGGTTACCTGGGGAAAGAAAAATCCCGGAAAGACCTATGCCACGGTCTACGAAGCCGATCGACAATATGTGAGCTGGTGCCTGAGCAGGATCAATTCGTTGGAAGCTCCGATCAGCGATTTTGCCCGCTACTGCCAAACCCGCCAGCAGATGGAGGAGCAGTTGCACCAGAGCCAATTGATGTGAAGTGGGAAACATTGATCCTTGATGCATCAATAGCCGTAGAAAATATCCAAGAAGCCAAATTGCTAAAAGCATCGGAATTCGGGAAAACCCAGTCATTTGGAAAGCAAGTTGATCTTTTAGAAGTCTATGCACAGCCAAATAGTAGACTAGCAGAAGAAGTAGGAAAACATGGAGGAATAGCAGTCCGATTTACCAGAGACCATGGTGATCTATCTACTTTTGAAGGCCAGGTGCATTTGCTTCGAATGATCTGCAGGCTGCGTCCGAAACATATCTGGGTAGCGCCGGAGTGTTTTCCCTGGTGTGCATGGAACCGATTCAACGCAACACAGAGCAGCCGTTTGTATGAACGTATCCAAAGAGATAAGAATCTGTCAAAGGAACATCTAGTCCTATGTGCCCTGATATGCAAGATTCAAGTTCAAAACGGGAGACATTTTACCATGGAAAACCCCGGAACATCAGACATGTGGAAACAAGAAGAACTTGATGTAGTAATGAGACTAACTAAGACAGTTAACTTGGATCAGTGCAGATTTGGTCTAGTTCATCCTGAAGATGATAGGCCTTTGAGAAAGCATACTCGGTTGCAAACAACATCGAATCAGATTGTTCGAGATTTAGATGGTCGAAGATGTCAACAAAATCACGAGCATTCACAAATTGCCGGGTCATGCAAGTTTCAAGGCCAGCGAATGGCATTGTCTCGATTTGCCGCGTTCTATCCCAGAGTATTCGCAAGGGCAGCAGCGAAGAGCATTTTGCAGGAAAAGAAACAACCAGAAGTAATAGCCTTTGTAGGAGAAACAATCGAAGACACATGTCCAGTTGAAGAAGATCATCCTGCGAAACGCGCACGTTTTGAGCCACCACGAGAGCCAAAACGGAAAGCCGAACCCGAGGAGACAGTGAAGACTCCACTTCACGGACAACCTTGGGACGAAACTTTTCAATGGCTGCAATCTAATTTGCCGAAATCAGGATCAGTCGATGTCTCTCCAAGCAGTTGGCCAGGAAGTTTCCTTGTTGAACATGTTGAACATTGTGGATTTCATGTGAAGCAGATACTCGCAGGAAAAGGCATGGACAAATATCTAGTAGGTCAATCCACGAATCCAATACGGAAAACCATTTGCCAATGTAGGAGGACAAAAGAAATTTTCGACTTGGGTGAAGAACAATGGACAAAACTGACATTACGGCAACAAAGAAGGAATGCTATGCCTAGTCATATCATGGTCTGTTTGTTCGGAAGTCCTGATGAATCGAAAGAGCCAGCAAAAGCCAGCGAGGAGAGGCAGTCCGAACCCGTTCGATCCGAACAAATGCCAGAGTCCAAAGCTGTCGAGCCGAGTTCCGAGCAGATCAGCCAGAGAGCTGATGAAATTCGACTAGGAGAAATGGAAGACAAGATGACCTTTGTCCCAGCTTGGTCACCACAGTCTTCGAACAATTCAGGTCCGAAGTTTCATGAACTCAGCAAGTTCCAGCAATCCCTAATCCAGAGAATGCACAACAATTTAGGTCATCCAACAGCCGAGAACTTAGCAAGCCACCTGCGAAGACTTCGTTTCTTCCAAGAACTTGTAGATGGAGCGAGTGAATACTTATGCCAATCATGTTCAGAGAGAGTTGGACCCAAACTGACAACCCCAGGAAAATTGAAAGAACCCAAGGACTTCAATGAAGTGATTACATTAGATGGATTCGAATGGAGAAGCAATTCGGGAACCAAATATTATGTAATACACATCTTTGATGAAGCCACCCATTTTCACTTGGGAAGAAGGTGTCAACGGGGAACTGAAGAAGCAGAGAGGGTAGTTAATGAAACATGGATGAACTGGGCAGGACCACCTGAAGTGATTGTTCATGACCTTGCAGGAGAGTTCGTGAGCCAACAGTGGAAGAACATGCTACAGCAAAACAGCATTCGAGCCGTGACAACAGCCGCACCCTGGCAAAGGGGGAGGATTGAAAGACATGGGGGGACAATAAAAGAGATGCTAAGTCGAATAGACCACCACATTCCAATAAAGACAGACAAAGAGTTCGACTATGCATTGAACCAATGTTTCCAAGCCAAAAATAGTATGAGTGTAGCCAAAGGGTTTAGTCCAGAACAAGCCGTTTTGGGAAAAGCCAGCCGAGTCCCGGGATCCATATGTGACGATGAAACAACAATCTCTCATTCGCTCGTAGAAGGGGAATCAACAGAAGCTGAAGTCTTCCAGCGAAAAATGCAAATTCGAGCAGAGGCAAGAAAAGCACTTGTAGATGCCGATAATAGTCAAGCAATTCGTAGGGCAATATTGAGACAATCCCGCGGAAGAGAACACGACTGGAAGTGTGGGGAACTTTGTATGGTTTGGGACAAAAGAAAAGCACCAAATATCTTGGAAAAAGGAAGATGGGTAGGACCTTGCCAAGTAGTGATGCATGAGACTCGGACCATAGTTTGGGTAACCCACCTAAACAGATTGCTAAGAGTTGCTCGAGAGAACATGCGATCCGTCTCATTGAGAGAATTTCAAAGTCACCACGGATTCCAGCAAGTCGGCGATTCGAAGAGACTGAAAGAGATGGCTGAACAATTGGAAAACCAACTCAGAGAGAGGAGTGGAATGTTCCAATATTCCGATCAAGTAGAAAACATGTCATATGAGCCATCAGAAGCAGCACCTTCGAATGAAGACCAAACCAGGTCAGCCCAGCCAGAGGAAGAGCCTCATCGACGCAATTCGAACGCAAAGAATAGCATAGAGTATCCACCGGGATTATATGTAAGCCAGATCCCAGTGATAGATCCGAATGCAGATGAGGAGCTTGAAGGCCAACCAGAAACAAACGATCCTGTAGAGCCAATAGAGCCAACAAATCCATCCAAATCGATTGGGGATTCAATGGTGGTTAATGCATGCATTGTAGAAGGGGTAAACGACAGAGGGGAGGCCGTCTATGACCAGGGAACTCTATGGAGTGAAGAGTCATGCCAGATAGCCGAAGCACAGGTCTGTAGTTTCGAATTCGTTGTTCCAGTGAAAGCATTGGAGAAGTTTTGTAGGAACCCCTGTTACCATGCAGAAGCCTTGAATAGAGCAGCAAAGAAAAAGCAATTTGATGAAGCCAAGAAACGAGAGTTGAAATGTTGGATAGAAACAGAGACGGTTGAGCCACTCCTAAGGAATAAGATTCACCCGAGTAGGATAATGTCTTCAAAATGGGTACTGACATGGAAGGAGGACCACAGCTCCCCTTCAGGCCGCAAACCGAAGGCTCGCCTTGTCATTCGGGGCTTCCAAGACCCGGAGGTAGGAATAGTGTCAACCGAGAGTCCTACATTGTCTCGTGATGGCCGAATGATGATAATGCAAACAGTGAGTTCGCTTCACTGGCGGATTCAATCGTTCGACATTAAAACGGCTTTCTTGCGAGGCAAGTCAGATGAACGAATATTAGCCATGCATCCTGTTCCAGAATTCCAAGAATTGTTGGGTTTGAATAGTGAACAGGTTCTCTTACTGAAAGGCAATGCTTACGGTAGGGTGGATGCACCATTGCTATTCTACAAAGAGTTCCGGAAAAGGTTAGAAGAAGTAGGATTCGAAGCACATCCACTGGACAATTGCCTGTTCTTGTTGAGGGACCCCTATGATTCGACAAAGCTGGATGGAATCCTGGGAACACATGTAGACGACGGGATAGGCGGGGGCAATCAAAGATTTGATAAAGCCCTAGAGCAATTGCAGAAGAAGCTCCCGTTCGGAAACCAAGAATACAAACGCTTCAAGTTCACCGGACTGACAATAGAACAAAGAGATGATTACTCAATCAAAATAGGACAAGAAGATTATGTACATCAAATAGAAGCAATAGATGTTGCAAAGATCAGAAGAAAAGAAACGGAATCACCTGTATCGAACCATGAGCAACACCAGCTTCGTGCTCTATGTGGAAGCCTTCAGTATGCAGCAGTGCATTCGCGTCCAGATATAATGGCAAAGGTATCTTTTCTGCAAAAGCGGGTTTGTGATGCAAAGATCAAAGATCTACTAGAAGCAAACAAGATCCTTAGGGAAGCAAAAGACACAGCCACAACATCCGTGTTGGTGCAACCAATTCCAATGAGAGATATAACTTTTGCCAGCTTTGGAGACGCAAGTTTTGCATCGGAGCAGCAATTGAAAGCACAGCAGGGAGTTTTCATAGCAGCATGTACGAAAGAACTTGGAGAAAACAAAATATCAAGCATATCCCCATTAGCATGGCACTCCAAGCAAATAAGTAGAGTTGTTCGATCGACCCTAAGTGCTGAAGCCTATGCAATGTCCTCTTCATTAGATAAGTTGACCTGGCTTAGATGCATGTGGGCAGTAATCAAGGACGGAAGCTTCAAGTGGCAGACACCCGAGAAGTCACTAAAGAATGAGACTAAGGCTCTACTCATCACAGACTGCAAGAGTTTTTATGACTTGGTGAACAAAATGGCGACTCCCAACTGTCAGGAGTGGAGAACGACCATAGAGGTGATGCTTATAAAACAGCAGACCCAAGACAACACCGAGTGTAGATGGATATCGACAGCCATTATGCTTGCAGACTGTCTAACAAAGCCTATGGACTCATCCTTTTTACGACGGGTGCTCACTCTTGGAAAATTTAGAATCTATGATGATGACAGTGCCCTCAAGGAGAACCCGAATCGAAAGTTTAGCTCACGATGGATCGAATCTTTTGCTGAACCGTGCAATTCGAAAAAGAAAATAGAGTCAATGTGAATCAATCCAGTTGAGCACCAAACCTTCGAATGGTTGTTCGATCGACGATGTCATCCAACGCAAAACGCGTTGGCTCAAGGCCGACAGGGACAGGACAAGCACCGAGAAAAGCGGTGCGACGGCAGGGTGGCGGACCACCTTTGGTTTGGATAGGGATAGGGCCCCCTTAGGTTAGATAGATTTGGTTGACGGGCGAGGAAGCTACCTTTGTGGCTGATAGCCACATATATTTATGTATGTATACACACATACAAATGCACATACACATATACACATGTATGGAGTGTTTGGGGAGGCTTTTCATCCACGGTGCCGACTCCGATCTCTGGACCTCCGCCGAGCGTCGCTTGCGACTCTTCTTGCTCCCGAGCACCTGCCCAAAGTCCGCCGAGCGCCCAGCGCCGCCGACGCTCACCTCAGTGCAGGGCGCAAAGCACACTTCGAGGATCGCCTGGAACGTGGAAAGGCATAGATTCCAAATCCACAAGGCTGTGAAGAAACCAGAGTTTTCGGAAAAATGTACATTAAGCTTATGTGTGTTGTTCCTACAGGCTCTTTGCGTGCATGTGGGCGGTCTACCGCGCATCACTTCTCTATTGGTGGGTGTCGATCTTGAGCATCTACCAGCATAGCCAGAAGCTCATCCCCTGGCTCTTCACAAGCAAAGCCAAGGAGCTAGGTCAGCCCCTGCAGTTGACATATCTTCGTAAGTCTGGCTCTGCACATGTCCTCCACTGGCCTTCTTGAGGTTCTTGATCAATTTGGTCAATCCCCGTCATCGAGAAGAACATCGCCCTGTTGAAAAAGAAGCCATCCAGAGTCGTTTCGACCGCATCCCATGTTGCTACCCCTCGTGGCGGTTAACGTATCAATGTAGCAAGCACTCCACAAGGAGGAAAGAGGACTTTCCTCCAACAGGCGCAGATGTTGTGTTGAGTTCGGGTCGGGGAAGTGTAGCTAGATTCTTGGAATCAACAAGACCTCTGCAAACGGGATTTAGCTGCCAAGCAGCTAAGACCTTCGGTGCATCAGCACCTGCTTGCTCTAGGGCGACCGACCTCATCACAAACATGAGGCCAGTGAGGGACCTGCGACAACCTGTCAGGGTTCGAAGAAGAACAACCTCCCCTCCTCTGTGATTTTAACAACCCATGTTTGTGACCCGTTCTCCAAACTCCACTCAAACACAACATCCACCATCCAAACGTCGGGTCAAACCCGGCCCTGGGGGCCCCATCCCATCCTTCGGTGTCATCGGAGCCTCGGCCCCTGGGTTCAGGGTCTCCGGGGAAGGCACGCGCCCATGTCTTTCGTGGAGGAGCTTTTTGTTTCAGAACTCCTGGAAGTTGTTTCAACTTAACTAGTTCTTCCAGCCCAAGAAGGCTAAGTGTCAGAATGAAGAGCATCATCACTCCTCTGTGCTGAATGAGTAGGTCTCCGGGGAAACACAATGCCCACTTGAGTTTTGTGTGGTTCATGAAACACTGGACTAAGTTGACTCCATTTCAGAAGCCCGAGGTTTCCAAACCGCTCTTCCTTCCCCGGAGAGCAACTCTCATGGCCGAGCGGCAAGGCTGACTGCCTTGCGAAAGAACACACGCGCATGGATTGGCTGGTTGGTTGGGCGCACGGAGTGTTTGGGCTCGCTGTGTGGGGGAGAGAGGGTGTGGGGGAGAGAGGGAGTTGTAAAGAGAACCGACGAATTGGGTTAGAGTGGTTTCAAATGGCACAAAACCCAAGAGGTGTGTTTTTGCAATCTACTCTAAAACCACTGGACATGACAATCCCCCGCTGCTTGGAGCACAAGTCGACAGCCTTCCTAGCCCAGCGCAATCCGAAGATCTTCATACTGGTGCTGCATCAGTATCACTGGTGCAACTCACTACATCCCAGTGGCCCCGTTTGGACGAAGCAAGAGCCATCTTGTGTTTCTCTATGAAGGCAGATCATAAGAAAGCCAACCTGCCCAACACAATCCACACACTGGCGCTCAACGAGAAGCCATACCCCAAACATATGCCCACATGCTATCTAAAGCATCCACTAGAGACCAGTTTCCTTTGCAAGGGGACTATCTCCCACTTAACTTAAGCCGGTCGGAGTATAAACCATTATAAACCAATGCGTATGTGAAAAACACACCACTCTGATTGTTTGATGTCCCGCAGGACCTACAACGGGACGGTTTGCAAGAACGTTTCTGGGACATCCCTGCTTTCAGATTGAAGGGTCATATGGTAAATCCATGTAAAGCATATATCAACTCAACACTTCACGTTGAACCCTAGATGTGTTTCGGTCCCTGCTGGAAATGCGATTCACCCTGCGTGACCGCCGGTGGGTGGCCCTCAAGAATCCCAGACTTGCGCTTCTGGTGACTGGTAGCAAGGCCAGGAGCGCCCCGTTCGTCGCTTCCGATCGCTCCGTTCGTAGCGATGCCCTTTGATACGTTCGTAGGTTCTTGTTCCTAGTAGCCATGCCCTTGTTACTAGTAGCTTCTTGCTCCCAGTAGTAAGGCCAGGAGCCCCTAGTAGCTTCTTGCTACTAGTAGCGATGCACTTGTTCCTAATAGCTTGTTGTGACGTTCGCAGCCGTCCCAAGGCGCCACCCAAAAACCAGCGGCTTCGCTCTTCAGTCCACGCCCAGCGGCGGTCGCAAGATGCCGCGGATCGTATCCAGGTTCCTCACGTGCGTCGGCACCGGGTGTGTGTCGGTCACGTGTCCGAGCTGAAAGAGCCGGGTGCACCGGGTTCACCGTGTTGTTGAAGGAAGAATGGAATCCATCTGGAAACCTGTTTGGGTAGTCGTATGGATGTTCCACGAGCTGGAAATCAGGTCTGACCACTTGTGGGGAATGCCTCACAGGGCATGCACTTGACGGTTCCGGTCGCATCGCGATGCTCCGCTCGGTCGCCATCCCAGCGGCTGCAAGCCGTCCACCTTGGGCTCCACCGAGAAAAGGATCAAATGCGTCGTCCGCGCCACCGCCTGCGCGATCCGCGATCCGTCGGCGCGACACCGCGAGGTGACCAAAACCAGTTCAAGCTAGAAGCGATGACATTCGTCTTTAAGAAAAAGGCCATTAAAGAAATTGAAACTACTAGCGGCCTCCAACCTAGACTTGCATGTGGACATCACATCTTAGGTGTCAAGCTGTTTCTTGATTGCCTGCGGGCACCAGGAAAGGGTCCCAACTGGGCCCTCAACATCCATCCAGGGGACCATAGACTGGGGCAAGTTCGGAGTCCTGCGAGACCATTGGAGCACGAGGTGCATCGGTGCAAGACCGGACCTCGGGGTCTTATGAAGTGCTAAAATATAGCTTTTTGTTACTACTAGTAAGGCACCTGTTACTACTAGCGTGGCAGTTGTTACTAGTAGTAACCTTAAAATATTATTCATCCCGCCTTCCCAAAGGCCGATCGTTCGCATCTGACAGATTTCTCCATTCACTCAGAGAACGAACGGCACCCCACACTTCGGATCTTCTACCAGAACGAACTGCAGCTACCTCTCCACCTCTCCACCGGCGTTCCCCACGCGGCACCCACGCGGCGACACGTGTCGGTCGACCGCGCCTTTCTCCAGTCAATGGAGTTGAAGCGGTAGTCCGGCACATAGCCCACCACAGCGATGGCACACACGCGCTGGACGAGTGCCATCTGAGGCGCGTGGGCGTGTCGCCGCCGCCGGTGCCCGGGAGGCGGAACGGTGCGGCGCAGCCCAACGAGGTTCTGAGATGCCTCCTCTATAGAGTTCTCGTGCCTCCTTCCATCTTGAGGAGCTCAATTGCAAGGGGGCTTCTATTCCGACTTGGATGTATTTTGTTGACCTGTGCCAACCGGAGGAACAAGGCTTAAGCTATCCTGACTGATCTGGCTTGAGCTTTAGGGTCTTTTGTCTCTCCGACTTCCCATGAACTTCAACTAGCACAGCCATTCCTATTGGTTGGGGGAATTGAATTTGGGCCCCTGGCTCCCTCAGTCGCACCCTCCTGAACACCAGCCAGTGAACCCCTTCCCATCCTTCCCACCCTTCGCCATGCCGAGCGGCCAGCGCCGCCGTTCGCAGGACACCCGCCATGATGCGCAGGCGTCGGATGCGAAGGTCTGGGGGACCCGGGCGTTGAGAGGGCTGTGGACGTTGACGTCCACACAGGATGTCAGTGACTGACTGCCTAGCTAGGCTACAGCACCCTGAATGTGGGAGGCTTGGCGGAAAACCAGGGGATGAAGATCAACTTGTGGAACACTCCTGGGTTGACGCCATGACTTCCAAACAGCACCTCCTGAACTCCCTATGTCGAGGCTGCCCGGTGTGGCGACTCCAATCACCTTCACCTCACCTCCACTTATCTGCATCAGGGGAGGCAAGGCTTCCTATCTCATCCACCCTGCTCCAACATCGGATGGGACTCGAAAGCCCTCGCTGCAAACACAGCTTTCCCGACCGGTAGGAAAGAGGGTGATCCACATCTTCCACCGACCTAGGGCCTTGGAGTGTGCGCGGCACTCTGTGTCTAGGCCACCACGGAGCAACGGCAACGGTCCACCGCCCGAACCCGGAGACTGGGAAGACCCCAATGAGCCTTTTCAGGAAAGGACCTGACCATCCAGGACGCCAAACCCTCACAACGACTGGCCACACCAAAAGCTTCACTTCAGCGACTGAAAGGCTCCGAAAGGCTCTGAAAACCGCACGGGCAAAAGAAGGGGCCGTCTCGCCCCTCTCTGGGGGGGAGTCCTGGAAAGCTTGGAGGAAGGAGCTTCGCCCCACTCAAAATCCCAGTGACCGGCGGAGGTATTGAAAGCAAACATGTTACAGTAGTTTAAACTAGGCCCACTAGGCATTTGGAAACTGCAGGCTTTGGCCATGCATCCCGCAACGTGAACAAACCTCCAGCAGAATGGACTCAACATCTCTTACGGCTTGCCACTGGCAGAAAACGTTGTTTTGCTGGTTTTCTTGGATTTCCTCGTCGGATTCTGAGCCTGGAGTCCATTCCTCAGCCCCTCGATGCCCCACAAAACCCCGCGTTCAGCGCAGTGTTTTAGTCGAAAAGGGTTTCGAGGCGGGCTGCGATGGAGTTCTCACCACTTTGGATGGCTTGACCTGAGCGAAATCTCGGCTCCCACCGCTGGTGTGGTTGGGCCGGAGCTTCCATTGTCGGAGTCATGGCTACAAGATCACAAGCAGGGTCTAAACATGTTGGTTCTTCAATGGGCGTGATCGACCTGGAAGGTGATTTGATCTGGGGATCGACCTGGAACGTCCGTGCCATGAGTTGGACTCCTTTGCATGGACTCCTTCGTGTGGGCTGAGTCCTGAAGGCCTATTGTGGTGCAGGACAGCTAGACATATGATACCAGGACCCTCCAAGGGGTGTCCAATGGACTACTCCACACTACCTATAGGCTTCCATTGGGCACCCCTTAGAGGGTCCAGGTAGCATATTACTCATGAATCCCCAGAATTGTGTATGCGATATCCGTGGCACAGCTGAGCATGCCGGCCGGCCAGTGCAAGGCCTTCAAATTGCTGGTAGGCATCGGGCTCTTCCTCCAGAAGCTCCACCTGCTGTGCGGTGCTGTGTGTTGGTTTTCAACGTGGCAAAGCCGGGTGTATCCAACCGGGGCCAAGAATCAAGTGAAGGAGGGCCTGCAAAGGCCGGGCTTTGCCTCCCTGCAAGATTGTAGACCCATGAGTAAAACCCCGCTGTCTTACAGGTTTTTGGACGGGTCAGACTTGGGCTTCTAGTCTTCTTGTCATGATGATCTGCTCAGGTCTCTCTTCATCAGCCTTGCCCGGTCCCAAACAACAAGGCTTCTTCTCCGTCGCCGTTCTCCCTCAGCGACGGAAGCCATTTCGACCCAGCAGCGGCCCGAGCGGGGCACGAAGGTGATTCAAGAGCCGGGGCCACCCGTATCAAGCAACTTTCAAAAACTGGAACCTCTTAGCAGGCACGCTGCGTGGCATGGCTGGGGGCTCTGGGTCTGGACCCGCACCTGTATTTCTAGGTGTGGTGCATAGCAGTGACGGAGTCTGGGCCATCAAAAGCGTCAAATCAGCTGGGCAGGATTCGTTGGGATCACTGACCCTTCGTAAAAGCTGCCAATGCCAAGCCATGCCTTCCAACCGCTTCTTTGGGCCTTTCAACGCCAAGCCAAAAAACCGTAGGGCCACACACCGTCTACCGTAAACGCGGTGAACACCGAGGCCTCGAGCACCGACGAACACCGAGCGCCTCGACGTTTTGGATTTTCATGAAGAGCGGCAGTCGCAGATCCCGCTGCCGTCGAGGGAGCTTCAGTGGCTCACCAAACATCACGTGCCAAATGTACATCGCCAACCTGAAAAAGCACGGTCGGTCGTCGGTCTTTTGGACCGGTTGGGCTCGGCACGACTTGCGACCTGCGCTTCGTTCGTTAGGCACATCGGTGCCGGGCTCGTCACCGCAGCAAGATCCTCTATTAAAACGTTGGTGTCAGGGTGTGGTTTGGAATATGAAGGACATATGAAATCATATGAATTCACGGGATGTCTTCTTACCGCATGGATGCAATCTAGCACGCTACAAAATAAGTGGTTTGTCCTGGACCCTCCCAAAACCCTGGCCACATGGCCCTCTTCCGCCATCATCTTCCATTCCTCTTCCGCACGGAGCTGCGGCTCTGCGGCCACGGAGCTGTCCAGGTGTGCGGCCCAGCCTTTGAACGTTTCAATGGATGGGTTGAAAAAAGGGGTTGAACAAATGGTTTTTAAGGGACACATCATCATCATACACATCTGCATGGACACCAGGATTTGTTCACCTCGTAGATTTTCCTTCGGGAAAGCTTGGACTGGCTCAGTTGCCCCATAGACGTCCAGTTCGGCCCTCTTTTGACCCGACGGAAGTGCAGGAAGTGCCTGAAATGGGGGTTCACCTAGTCAGACCATTCTAGAAACAGCCAAGTCAGACTTCCAGGGTATGTTCCCAAACTTGCTTTGGCCCAGAAGAACGTCAGACTCACAAGACCGAGACGAACGTGATGAGAAAGCGGGTTGGGGCTGATGGGGGGCAGGTTTCGTGAGAGAACTGCCATGTCCATTTCTCCACAACCGAATAGACTAGATGAACTGCATAGACGATCTAACGAGGAACATCTTCAAGCCACTTTCTTGCAAGCAAGGAAGCAGTTCAATGAATCTGACCCGCTAGGAGTGTGCTCAATGCAACGGAACCTTCAAAAAAGGGAGCTGGGTGCCCTCACCAACTCCCCCACTGGGATTTCACAATCACCTCCCTTTCAAAGAAGGCCCTGCAACCACTCCCAAGCTTTTCACCAACCTCACTCTTCCAGGAACCCAAACATTGAATCCCCCAGCCACCTCCGCCCGACCACCCGACCACCTCCCGGTGGTTCCTTCCGCCCAGTGACACATCCGGCCCAAGCACCACGCCTCAGGCTTCACGAAGCCGGTTGAGTTAGCTGGCGGTTTTCACTCATCGACCCTTGTCACCATGAAGAAATGCTTGGAAAGCCCGCAGGAGCTGTCTTCCACCATGGCCCCCCAAAAGCGCAGCGCACCAAGGTGGCGAAATGTGGAGCCACCAACCATGCGGCTTCTCTGGTCGAGACCTTTCACGGGTTCCACACCTGCTCCATGGACCCTTGGTGGTTCAAGAGCTTCCATGGACCTCGGAACCCACTCCCCCTCCGCCCCAGGTTCAAGACCCTTTGAGACCACTCCGTCGGTCCACGGCTCCAAGGCACGGCCCACGGGAAAGAGCCGGTGGTAGGACTCCTCGGAGCCACGACCCCTTCTGGGGGTGCGCGATAGACCTAGCGGAGCCTACGTGGCTGGTGGTTCCAATGTGGATCGGGTCATTGGAACAAACTCGACCTGTTTCTGCTTGGGACATTTCCAGGACTCCATTTTCTAGACACGAACGAAGAAATGAGACACAAACGACGACAGGTCTGGACTCCAGCGGTTTCGGTTCGAGCGCATTCCAGCCGACAAAGCCTATCCCAAAAGCTTTTGGAACCTCAAGGACTGGCAAACGAGCGAGAAACCAATAGCTGCAGTTTTCTTTCGGGTCTGCTGGAAGAACTCCCACGGAACACATGGACATCAACAAACGGGTTGCGAAGAACAGGTGGCAGGTCAAGCAGCCGATATTTTTCCGCGACGAACTTCACATCACATGATATATATATATATATCCCCAGTAAAATGTGCGCCCCCGTCATCTTCATCCAGCATTTCCTTCTCGAAGGCCATCGCTAGTAGGTTGGAGGCCACCGCTTCTAGGGTGGAATGAAGAAGCTACTAGTAACAAGGGCACCGCTACGAACGGAGCAAGGAGGCATTACTGGCACTACCAATAAGGAGCAACATATCTTGCCGTCCCTCAGATCTCGGATATCTCTTGCTCCGTCGAACCGCCCACGGTGTCAATGCCCAGGTGCGGCGGTCAAGCCGAAGTAGTCCCAGCCATTTTGGTAGAAGGCGCGTGGCCTTGCCGGGCGGCCGTCAGGGCATCAGGGCCGGGGCGTCAAAACGGCGGCCGATCTGGTTCCAACACTTGGGCGCTTTGATGGTGCCGATTCTGGAGCCATTCCTGCGGATTGGAGTTCTGGGCCACAAAGGGCCAAACACGCCGAACCGGTGGACCGGAAGCTGCGTGGCGGCAGCCCTTTGGTAGCTGCCAGTGTATCGGAGCAGCTTTCCTGTGAATGTGGCTCAAAAGGCTTGTTCCACCAGAAAAGGGGGGCCACAAGAAAACCATCTGAGTGGAAGCTGCGTGGACACTGCGCCCTTTCAACCAACGGAACAGTGGACCAGTGGACCCGGCGGAAAAGCGCTGGTCTTCTCGACCTGCCGTCTGGTAAAGCAGCCAGTCCTCGCTTCAAGATGTGGACTCCAACCGTGGTTAACTCGCTCCCATGGCACTTCTAGGCCAACCTACTTCCTGTTTGTCTTGCCTCTTCAAAAGAACGCGCAACCATGTCCTCAAACACTTCTCATTTCCTACTCGCTTCTTGATGACCCGGCTGCCTTGGTCGCTGCACGGCAGCCAAAACCAGATCGATATGGGACCTCTCGTGCATCAAAAGTCTTTTGAGGACATTCATGTGAGCCTCTCCCAGAACTCTTGACCTGCACACTTCATCCGATGAACACCGCATCACATTCGGCTTGGCCCGCACGTCGGCCACCGCTGGCACTGAATGCCTCGTTCACTCCCCCGGTCGGAAACGCGGCGGCGGCGCTTTCGCTTCGATCCCGCCCTCTGCGCCTCAAGCGGATCCGGTCCCGATGGACCATAAACTGCACACAGCAGTAGGCGTTCCTGAGAGTCGCGTGGGGGAACGCACGGTGCGGTTGCAAGCGTTTTGGTGGGATGATGCACCAAGGAGGGGTACATGGACACAGCAACCATTGACCATGGGTGATTTCTAGAACCAAGCTGGCATTTGCCACCACAAATTCAGTCCTTTTTTGGCAGTTGCTGGAGACCTGTGTCCCTGTTACGCTCGCTCATCAGTGCGTGCGTCCTTGCTCAGTGGGTTGGAGGAAGGAGCCAGGTACAGTTGGTCAAACCAAATCGGGTCTCTCTACCAGCTTGAGGGATGGGCTGAGATTCTGAGGAGTCCTATGGCTTGAGGATCAAACCCTGGCCGAATTTGGGGCGAAACAGGGTTTGTCACCGATCCGCTTGGTGTTGAGGTGCCGGTGGGAGTTGTTTTTGGCCATAAGAATCAAAGAAGCCACACTCACAACGACAAACAGCCGAAAACAACCACTGGAGACCTCGTAAAACAGGCAACTGAGAAAGCAACCCAGTACCCTGAGAGTCCTGACTCATTTGAGCCCTATGTGGATTCTGACTTCCGGGTGGGGTAAAATGAGTCATTGGGAGTTCTGGGGTAGATTGTCCTGAAAGTGAATTCTCCGGACTTCGGGCCTTGTGAAGTGGCGCCCGAACGCGGTCACATAATGTGTCCACCACCAGTCGAACCTTCAGTTCATAGACTTCCCTCGGCTGGAGGCTGAGAGGGGGCCCCCCGACAACGGTTGCCCAAAATCCAACTCAGAAGGTGCTCATGGCCTGAGGTCTCCTTCTTTCCCATCCTCCGCATCTGTCGGTCCTGCCATCGTCGACGGGTTATCCGAGGTACACGTCTCCAGCCGCCAAAGATGGTGCCAGAGAGGAACGAAAGACCTTCTTCCAAAGTGTGGCAAATTCCTGGGAAAAGACCGGAGCCGAAGCAGGCCAGGCATACCAGGCATAGAAAAGAGGTGAGAACGGGGTGATGGGACACACAAGTTCGGAGTCCTTTTGGGTTCTGGTACCTGCATATATGAATGATGGACCCCTGAGATCATTTGGAGATGTATCTCGGCGATGCGATTTTTTCGTTTCACCGAATTTCTATCGAGCGTGGATGGATGAAGCCACAGCCTCCGGGCAGCAGTACACCACTGTGCGATTGAGTGAAGTAAACTGTCTGTGCCTTCAGTGTGTTGTGAGACTTTGCGGATCAGGGATGACAGCTTGGTCTTGCGGTATACCCGGGATGACGCCTGCAAGCTGACCTCTCTCCCAAGCAGGGGTGCCACCTGGCACACCCAAGAAGTCGCCCCAGATGGATGGTTCTTGGCGAATGGATGCCAAATGGCAGGGACCCTCCGAAGCGGATGGCAGGGACCCTCTTTCACCACGCGTTTTCCACTCCAAACACGGCGCTCCGAACACCGCGCGCCACGGTGTCGAACAATTTGAGCACCCGGGTGGCGGGTTCCAGTTGCCGGCCCTCGCAGGGGGCGTCGTTCCGGCCTTGGGGGGAACTCGAGGCTGAAGAGATTGGGGGCAGAAGACTCGGGGGACCCTGGGCAGGAAGCGTCGTTCCAAGTGGTTCAGCTGGGGTGATTTTTCACAGCAATCACGGTTGCAAACCTGATAGTTCAGCTTCAGCTGCTGAAGTGATCTGGAAAACAAGACGGCCCTATAACGAACCTCGGCTTTTCCTTGGCAGGCTGTTTATGGACATGCCCACAAGAAAGCTGCCGTGCTTCCTCCCATGTTTCCTGCCGAGCCCTCTATAGCTTCGTTTCCATCCAAAACTGCATCCCAGCCCGTTTCAAGCCATGTCACAACCCAGATCGTGAAGGACGTAGTTGTGCGCGAAGTGGACGAATCCGATCTTCCTGGTCGTGGCGAGTTCGGCGCCAAAAAGGTGGACAAGCCAACTCCTCCAGCCAACGGTGGAGCGCACGAGCAGCGGGTCCAGGCCGTGGATTCTGCCGCTCGAGGTCGAGCTGCACGGCTGAACTCCAGGTCACACGGTCACACCCAATGTAATAGCGGAGTGTAATAATAGATTCCTTTGCTAGTAATTACAATTCTAATTAAGATCTTATTGTTACTACTAGTAAGGCACTTGTTTCTAGTAGCTTCTTGTTACTACTAGTAAGGCACTTGTTACTAGAAGCGATGCACTTGTTCCTAGTAGCGAACATTGTTCCTAGTAGCTTCCTACCCCCCCTCCCATCGGAACTGGATTCAGCAGGTCACACGGTCTTCCATTCCCATCGACCGATCCAAGGCTCTCAGAGAGATACCCCCGGATCGCCGCAAAGACGGTGTCCGTCAGAAGCTCCAGCGAAGGCACGTGCCTCACTGACCCACCGGGAGCGGTGTCTGTGGTGAGTTTCATCCGATCGCAACGGCGGGGCCAGGCCCATTTCATGGCGGCAGGATCGATCTGGCACGTGCTCAGCGGCAGATCGGAGCATGCGACATGGAGCAGATCTTCTTCTGGCGATGGTTTCTGTCTGTTTACGTCATACATCTCCGAAATGATCGAATATACTGTGATACTCATCCCTGGGAGTCTAATTTGAGTCTCTCCATATCAACTCACGGCCCATGCTTGGCGCCCGGCACCATTGTTCGTGGGGGCAGGGTTGCCAAGAATTTCCAGGAAAATTCTGTTTAGATTAAAAGGGTCATGGCCTTTAGGTCCAGGTTGATGAAGGAGGCCTGGCCTCATGCCCCAAAAGTGGTCATAGCCAATCGATATCAACAAGCATTGCTATTATAGGACAACAGCACACAAGGTTGCAGTTGGGGATCAAAAAGCGCACGCCAACTGCAAACCCCACACATCCCACGCTCACCCCCCCCCCTGGCAAACCCGACGGCTCTCCGTTAGTCTGTCCAACGGCACGCGTCTGCCGAGTAGCTCCGGGGCATCCGCATGTAGGAAGACGGTGTAGTCTGGCAAGGTGTCATACCTGGGAGAAAGAGAGATTTTCTCGCGCTAGATTCGTGAGTCACCGGTCCAGGACCTGTGCCGTCCTGGATGAAAAAGAGACCGCCGTCATCTCGTTTTGCGGGTCAACCACCCCTGGCTGTTTCTCGGTCAATATGGCAGTCCCAAGCAAGCTATGCGTCGGGGAAAGGTCCACACATGCCTTATTGTGGAAGAAAGCCGGCCAAAAGAGACACTCCAAAATTCTTAGATTCTCATAGTCCCAATTTAACCACAGAATTGAACCTTCTGCCATCGTGCTCGCTATACCAGTCGCTTTGCTCTCAGTAGCAACCCGAAGCCGCACCCTTTTGAGGATCCAAATCCACAAGGCCAAAATGACCCCCCCCAGACGCGGCGTCGACAGCATCCCTGCTGTTTCACCCAGCGACTTTTGTGCCCAATCGGTCTGAGCTTAGTAGCGGTTCTGTCTTTTCGTGGCAGCGGTTTGTGGCTTGGTCAATCCGTCACATTGGTTTACCATGCTGTTGCGTGGGGCGCATGGCACCTAATCGTGTATTTTGTTCTGGTCCAGAATAGTGATTGCTCGTGGGTATGGACAGGTGCCTCCGGTTCAATCTGCGAACGTTCACATCCAGGAGTGTCAATCCTTTATGGATCACTTCGAGGCCACCGGTCGATCCTCCTCCTCCCAGTCACCGCGCGGCACCTCTCCCACCGTTTTGATCGCAGCCACCGGTCCACGATGAAGGCCAAATAGGCCGAGTCGTCGTCCGCGCGGAGCACGTCGTCCACGTAGCGCACCTCGGGCTTTGGGAGGGTTTCCTCGGTCTCGGATGAGGTGATGAAACCACCGGGCGTCTTAAGCGCCACACCCGTTGGTCGTGTTCATCCCAGGTGAGACTTCGAGCTCAAAGCGGAGTCTAAGAAAAAGGAGGTCTTTTCCCGGCTCAGAAAGAACCCAACCCGTTCGCCAGGCTTTGGACCCTCACAACTCACAACTGTTCTTTGGACCGAGCCAACATCTAGCTCTTTGGTTCGGGTGCAGCCTCCAGTTTGTGGGAAGCAGTGCCAAGGTGCCGATGCCCGTATGGCCCTTCTTGGTGGTTTCAGAGGTTCGATGATGCAACCCTCAAGATGACTTAGACAGATAGGGGTCCATCACTGGGTCCATCTAGGCCACCAAACTTGGGGGTCCAACCGTGCCATCCACTCTCAATCGATGCTTCGTAACAGGCCATCGATGCTCTGGAGCCGGACCCTTCGGAGAACTGGAGCCACTCGTCCATGGATAAGCCACTTCGGCCAATCTGCATTCTGCTTCGTACCGAAGGTCGGACCAACTACTGGTCTTTCCTGAGACATGAGCCGTAAACGTATTGTATATATATATATATATAAATGTCACCTCATATTTCCGATTTGCCAAGTAGAAAAGTAGGCTGCCTCGTTGCGTAGCTCATGGTGTTTTGACTGGGCCTTGACACGCTCGAAGTGAAGACACAAGGAGTTCTTGTCGACGTCCAAAGGGGCACCAGTGGGAGTCACTGGCATCTTATCACCCTGTCAGCGTGCTCGGTGAACTTTGCAAAGATGAAAGTGTCACTGTTCTTGCGCTGCAGCCGAATCAATGCTTCGGCTTGACCATTTTGGCCAAGGCCTCTTCGGGCAGCACCTCTCTTGACTTCTTTCCCGCTTGCTGAGGAAACCAAAGGTCCAAGCGAAAAACCTGAAGCCCTACAACTCTGATGCGAAAAGAAGCAAGAAAAACACAAACAAAACCAGGAGCCACAGAGCTGCGAGATAGCCTTCTGGCAAGCAAAAATGAGTGAGCGTAAGCCACCTCACATGGAGGTAGGCACTATCCCAAACGCAGCAAGCGATTCAGAAGATCCAACTGCATTGACCGCCGTAGGCCTTGCGCAAGTTGACCGCCAAACATTCCAAGTCTTCACACCAAAAGCAAAAGCAAGACCTCTTCGTATCAAGCAGCGACTGGAGGTAGGCCATGACTCCGACAGTTTTATATGCAAGCGGACCTGAATGAGTATGTATATGTATATATATATATATATTTGGATTGTAAATACAACAATACCTATAGTGCTATGTCCATGCCCCCCCTTCACCCTAACTTACTTCCAGTCCTTCCCCTGTCTCGGCCCTGTCGAGCACCGCGCTCTTCGTCCTCTTTGGGCTGCCCGACGGAGACCTCGCGGAAGGTGCTCGCCCAGGCCTCCACCAGCCGCTGCGCCTCTGCAGCCCGTGCGGCGGAGGTCATGGCACCACACCTGAGAGGCCCAGAGGAGGAGGGAAGAAGGAGGATTTGGAGGACAGAATCAGGTTACTCTTCTTTTTTTTTTGGGTTTGGAAGAGTCAAACTTCTCTGATTGGTGTAAGAGTATCTGCTTCCAACATTGGGTTGGGGTATTTGTCGAATTCTTGCTGCCTCAAGTTAAGGGGGACGAGCACCCAGCAAGGAATGGCCATTTAATTGAAGACTGAAGGCTGGATTGAGATAACACCATACCAATCAGGCCTATTTATCCCGTGGTGGCACTTGCTTATTCTGCTGGCTCCGGGGCTGTTGCCCACGGAAGGCTGGGAGGGTCTCTTGTTGTACCCAACTGGCCGGAAAAACTCTCTTTGTTGCAGAGCCAGGTGTGGGTTGCTCTGTTACCTTTTGGGGTGTAGCAGCCTTTTCCGCAAAAGGGGTAGGTTGATTGAGACCTCAAACGATCAGGGCCACAAACTCGTTGCAATGATCTCGATCTTTGGCTTTGGCTGTGTGATACCTTCAAAGGTCGTTTCATTTCCCAACTCTCAATACATGAAGAGCTTGGTTATCCTGACACTTCAAATCTCTCTGTGCCCAGAAAACCTTTTGTGGGCAATCGCATTGCATGGAAGTGCGCCCTCTGACTTGCGATCTTAAACACACCCGGAGGTTCTTCTACGGATGGTGCACTCATTGGCATGACCAGCGCGAAGGCATGAAACCGCGTTAAGGATCCCTAGTGGCTAGGAGTTAGCTCCAGGTAGCAACAACGTGGAAGCACCCCCAAAAGAAATCAAACATCGATTGATAAACAAAGCAACCCCTTGAAACTCTGCATCCTGGCCCCCACGCTGCGGGTTTTGGCTCCTAAAATCTGTCTTCTCTCCTTCTCTCTCTCTCTCTCTGCAAATCCAACCCCGAAGCATCCCCAACCAACGGCTGCTCACCTCGCCGCTTCTTCCGCTTTCATCGCCAAGCCGCTTGTGGTAGAAGCGCAGGGCCACCTGCTTTTGCACCGCCTCGGAGCGGTCCTCATCTCGCCAGGGCAGGCGATGAAAGGCGCGCAGCCACGAGAGCTTCTCCGAACCTCGCCGGTCCCCGGTGCGCGGCGTGACCCACCGCGGAACTGCGAAGCAGGTCAGGTGAGTTCTTTTTTTGCGGGGGCGTCGGTGCTGTACGATGTGGGTTGCTCCGGCATTTCTTGAGGCGATTGTTGCTGGAAGTGTCTTTAAGGACGTAAAGGGCCTCAAAATCAACATGGGAATGCTCCTAGTTCCATTGGAATTTCGGAACATTTTCTAGGGGGACAAGGGCACGTGTCCGTCTGCCTGGGGGCAACTCTATTGAGATGATGGGAGCTAAGATTTGCAGGCCCTGGGGACAAGTACGAGCTTACTTGTAGCAGGTTTCCCGAATGAAAGCAAGACTGCGCACGCCTTTGGTGATGCCTGGCGGCCGCCTTCGAAGACCAGAGTGCCAAGGACTTCTCACCGATCCCAGTTCTTAAGGTTCCCTTGGCGTTCCCTCCTCATCACCCCTTGGCGTTTCAGAGGTTTCATGCCACGCAAGACGAAACGGCTCCTTTCCTTGGTCCGGGAGCCTTCCAAACGCGGATGGAAGCGCGCCACGATCGATCTTTTCGATCACGTGCAGCGCCCCCTTGAAGAGCATAAGCACAAGGCCAGACCGACTGCGAGGCCGGTCCCATGTACTCATTTGGAGGGTATCCGCTTCTCTGGATAAGGTATTCGGTATTTGTATGTAATTGTGACCATTGACAGAACCACAGGTGCTTCGTTGGGTGCTTTCTTAGGATTGCCCTGGACAAGGACAGCCCGCGGGAGACCCTACAACATTTGAAGTTCAGTTTCCTCTGCAAACACCCGAGGAGTCTTCTCCCCTAGCCCGCCGTGAAGCTTAGTGGTTCATGTCTGCGCCACTCAACCAAACACTTCATTATTTTTGGGGTGACCACGACTGACCAGCCAATGCACAGGCGACCGACCGAAGAACCGACTCTCAAACGGACATCGGACATCGTGTGAAGAAGTTGTCTTCATCCTAGCTGAATGGAAGTCTTCACAGCCGAAAGACATCGTCCCTCATCGCCCCTTCAGTCTCTCTTGTGAGTGCTTTCCGTTGGGCCGTCGCCCGGTGGCCGACTTGGGGCCATATACTTCGACCAAAGAACTCCTGGGCTCAGATCGCTCAGATCCCAAACCTATTTTGACAAGCTCAATTGTGTCATTGCAAGCTTTGGATTTGGATGGATTTGGTATGATGTGGTGCTCGGAGTTTCGAGATTGGACGACTTTCAATCTCGCTCTTCGGCGAATTTGAGAGCAACATCGACCAGCAGCATCAACTCCGTCACACGATAACAAAAATGCACTGGGTTCCTTTCTCCCAACTCGAGTGATGTGAACCTCACCTCGGGGTATGCTGGTCCAGCTGCTCCCCGATGAACACAGTGACTGCGGAGGGTTTCCATCCCGTCTTCGCATGTCGCGCGCGGCTGACGGAAGCCCCTCCCGGAACCGGTCGACGAGTGGCAGTAGCACACCACCAACTCCAGCGACCTGGCGGTACCCGGACCGGAGATCGGAGCGGACGACCGAGAGGTCTGGGACGACCGCACACCAGGAGTGCCAAGGGGGGCGGACATGCATGTGCAACCAAAGACAGTTTAGTATTCCAGTATTCCCATGAGTCAGATTGGGGATTTGTTTGGGCACAGCTTCTCCCTCAATTCAGTTTGGAAGACTGGAACAGTTCTCAATCGGCGCAGTCTTCTGTGCCGTTCACCTCATAAATCCTGTGGATGATTGTGCTTGTAAGGGGCATGTCAGCAAGCACTCGATTCAGGAGATAATGGGTAGATAAACTTCCTAAACAAGCCAGTGGTGGATCATGGTATGTCGTGTTTCCCCTAGCCACGGAAGAAGAACATGATTAACAAGGTGATTCTCTTCCGCCAACAGCTACATCTAATCCCTAGGGCTCCAGTTTTACCTCCTCAGAAGGTATGACTGGACCCTCCTGGCACCCACCCCAGTCCCACCTTCTTAGCAGGTACGACTGGAACGCCAGGGACTCACCCTCCACGACTTCGACGGGCCTGGCTGTGCCGCCCTGGCGCCGCAGGGCCAGGGCATGGGCGATGCCCTGCTGCAGCGGCCATCGGTCGACCGCGTAGTGCGAGGCGAAGAGGTCTCCTGGCGAACGGGTCGGCAGGAACGAGTGGTGAGCTCAAACTCTTGGGTGCTTTCCTGACTGGTGCGACTCGTAGGGAATAAGGGAATGAACCACCCCTGTGGGTCCCTTTGGATCCATTCCCATATTCCCTACTAAGCACCAGTCAGTTTCAGTGTTTCTCTGAAACACATGTGAAGCATTCAGGTACAATGATGTAGTTCTACAGTTGTCCAATTGTGGCTGGCCACTCCTGACGACCGCCTTCGATCCAAATGTCTGCAAAGACGCCTGACGCCTCTGACGCCTCTAATGCGCCCCCGCTACAACGCTCCTGAAACCTCTTGACGCCTTGGACACCTCGAGACGACGCCTGAGTAACGAAGGAACGTGGAAGGCACATTTTGTTGAACACGTTTGACGGGGAACACGCGTTTGCACGCCGAACATTTTGACCGTCTGGGACACTCTGATGAGACACCCTCGTGAACTGCGGGGCATTCTTGGCCAACACTGTTGAAGAAACCTTTCAAACTTGGTTTTCAAGATACTGTTGCTGGACACTCCAGTAAGAGATTCTCGGAACACCTTTTTGGATATACTTTTGCACTGACACGGCCTGTTGATCCAACATGAGGCCTACT